ACAAAAGTTGTGAAAATCTGCAATGTCTAGAAATGTGTACTGGTGAACAGATGTGGTGAACTCCAAAAGCCTCCAGGACTAGCTTTAATACAGCCCCACTGCAGAAAAAATTCACTATTTTATGTGCAAACAATCTTTTGGAGGGTTACCAGCTCACACTGGGGTTGCAATATTATTCATTCTAAAACATTTTACTCTATTTACAAAAGACCTAAGGGAAGCAATTACAAATTAAAACATGTTCCAAAAATAAACAGCCTGACGAGGTTTATCACAGTTTTCATAAGCACTAACAAAGCTGTGTAAATGCAAATGAAAAAAAAGTAATAAGAGGTGATCCGGAGGGATTAGGTGCAGCAGACATCCTGAGAGGAATCCTGAAATTAGTTCCAGATGTCTAAAAGGATTGTTCCATTTCTTTTTTATCATTCTATGCTCTGTCAAATAATCAGGCATTACTACATTTTTTACCTACTCAAGTCTCCCTAGGCATTAAGACACTGTAATGCTATAACTTTTAGCCTCTGGAGCATTTATGGAGTTAGGCTGTGTAATCCTCAAAGTGCACCGATGGGGAAAAAATTAAATGATTCATTAAATATAATCCACCATAAACACCATCTGAAACATTTAGCTGCTAAACATCATTATGCACTTCGATGGAGTAATAATATTCCAACAGAATCTTTTATCTGCTGCACAGCAAGTTCATACTGACATAAACCTGCAAACAAACTCTTAGATCTGACTTTGAATTTGATCAGATCTGTAGCTCCTCTATATGAGATAATGATAACATCTGTTTTTTTTCTGCTCTGCATATTGTATGTGAATACATTGGTGCTAATAGTTAAAAAAAATGTCATGGCATGTATTTTGTGCTACAATATGATAAATAGTTTAGCTGTCATCCATCCATCCATAGTATGTGGTGTAGTAATCTTAAGTATTTTATACTTTTAATATAAATTTGCTATATGAAGTCAAAGTGAATTTCCACTTTAGTGTTGAAATTCACCCATTAAGGATGCTAGGTTTAGCTTTGCCTTAGACTCCTCGCTACTATATCTGCATGTCAACATTTAACACTTCTTCCACAGTATACTAAGAAAAGTTCACATCAATTCATGAACTCATCTGCTAGAAGATAAACTCTCTTGTTTGTAGTTATCTAAATCCACCCTATAAACCAGTTCTATAACTAACTAATCTATAGTAGCTGTTTATAACCCATCCACTCACTTTATCAAAGATGCTTAAGAGAAAAAGTTCCACAGATATACTGTATTTTTTCTAGACAAAAATGTCTGCTTCACAAGGTTGTTGAAGACTCTTGGGGGTAAATGAGAAAAATGTGAAAAGGATGTCAGTCCCTGGAAAAGTTTGATTAGTCTGCCACAATGGAGAAGCGTTTATTCACTCAGGGACTCACTGCTCAAGAAATACAAACATACCTGTCTGATGAAAGCAGAGATGTGGGTATGAATGCTGAAAGCTCCAAGAATGAATGGCAATATAGGCATCTAAAACTGCATGTGGTCTTAAAGGCTTTTGATTGAAATTTCTTGTGAACCAAGTTATCATACGTCTCAATACTCAAAGTCTCCGGACTTTTGGAAGCACGTATGTAGTTGATCTATTGCTTTGATGTTGCAAAGTGAACACATATAGTTATTATTTAGTGAAAAATACATCCCTGTTATTAGGGTTGGGAATTTATAGGATTCTCACAGTTCCGATTCCCTTTTCGATCCTGTGAAATTATTTGATTCCTTATAGATTCTCTAATTGAGTCTGTGAAACAATGAACTTGGTAAGTGCACGGTGACATTCGTCTACCTTTGCCTGGGACATTCTATTTCTGCCTGCCTCGGCGAAAACAGAAAGCAGGGAACGGGAGCTGCCAGCCTCTGAGCCAGCCAGGCTACAGTACCTGTCTCATCACAGTCATCTAAATCTAATGGAGAAGGCATTCATTTAATGAAAAAGCATTACTGTACAATTTTGGGAAATAAACTCATCTGCCTTTAAGTTAAATAAACTAGCGTCACCTTTCTCTGGCTCCTTGAACTGCGGAGCAACTTCATAGCATGTTTAATAACCCCAAAGAGAGGTAGGAAATGGGTTTATTTCCAGAAATGGAATATGATGTAGAACCCACATTAAGCACAGCCAGTGATATAAAACTAGCTACTTACCACCAGAGTTGCCTTCCATGCTGGTCGTAACTTTAGCTTCTGTCCGGAAGCATCAAAAACACTTGCATTCGTTAAAATGTATGCCATGTTGTGTGCGCAGGTGTTTCTGCATGTTGGATGTATTTCCTCCCGCGGATGGGATTGCCACTTTGAAATGATTGCAAAGCGCCTCGTTGCCATCTTTCTCTTCCTTAAAATGAAGCCAAACTACCGAGTGCTTTGACCGCTTTTGTTTTGCTTTTCTAGACTTACGCCTGGTCACGTCGTACTTGCTTACTGAATGCCATGTGTGTAGCTTGCGTTAAAAACGTGGCGTAAGTCCAGTGCTAGGCTCTGGTGCTGCCTGGAATTGTTAAGAGAATCATTAAGCGAGCAGCAAAACAGTGCCATGGAATTGAAACACTTGGAACCGGTACTGAACAGGATGGGTTTTCGATTCCCATCCCTACCTGTTATCTTGTTTTTATATAAAGAAATTGTACAACAACCACTGCCGCTTCTGATGTAATTTCTCTTAACACCAACTATTGCCAGTAGGATAACCTTTAGTCGTGTGCTTACAGTAAATAACTCGAGAGGTAGGAGCAAACTGACATTCATTGATTAAGTCTAATTGAGTTGGTGTATGGTGTCGACTCTTTAGACTGTGATGCCCCCCATACCTAACAATTACATAGACTATGTGACCCAGCATACATTTGAGCATTCTAGGAGGTATTAAACTGACATTGGTATCATATGACCAAAGCATGTGCTTCTGGTTAAAGTCCTTATTCCACATGTTTCCATTTGTAATGGCAGGACAGAAAACATCAGCTTGTCTAGAGTTATATACATTTTAAGTTATGGAGCTCTGCATCAATTGTTAAGACTTAATAGCATATTTGAGCCCATAAGTTGTTGAATTAAAAATAATTAATAATATTGACGATATTTCCTTTGTAGCAATGATGATATTTTTTAAGTAATGTACAAACTGAAAAATTATCATTTGCATTAAAATTTTAACTAAAATGTTTACATAAAATGCATAGTTTTTATTCAAATAGTTTTGTAAGACTTTCTAAATTGAGCTGTTTTTTTATATATTAAATATTAAATTAATGCAGTTAAAGAAAAGGCTGAATTTGGCTTAATTTTTTGAAAACAATAATCAAATATCCTCTAATTTCAAGAAATTTACCCATTTATTTAAAACGTTTTTTTTATGTCTGTAAGCTGAAAGTTGAATCATAGAGATTTATCTGCACAGAGTTTTTTTCTCAGTAAAAATCTCTCCAAAGGGAGGATGTTTCTTTACTTGAAATTACTTGGTGGTTTTCTCACATGCTGAATACATATGTATTTTTCTTTTCTTTTTTGTTTTTATCTCCCTGATAAGGAGTATTTCTTAGAAAGCAAGCATCACATTTAGGTAAAGTGAGATAAAAAAAAAAAAAATAAAAATCCTGCCACAGCTGGAGATTTTCTTAGAGGATGAACCGTGCCAGTGTCTCTCAGGTTGGTAAAGCAACTGAGTGACAGAAATGGTCATCAGACAGAGCCATAAATGGAGAGAAGCACACGTTGTTAAGAAGGAAAGTGTTTTATATAAAAGAAGTCTTCTATAAACTAAACTAAGCTTTTATTTCCTAAAAATGTATATTTTACATGATTAAGTAAATATTAGTTCAAATGAATGCTTCCTTTAAAGCAGAGAAATTATTTGATTTTATATGGATGCATCAGAAGATGTCTTTGGGTGTGATTCTGGACGGTTTGATCAGATCATAAATTTCTCGTAGTTCTGAATACATTTTTATTCAGGATCTCATTTATTATCATGTTTAAACTAAACTTTCACTGTGTGTATTTACACGGTATATTATATTCTGTCACATTAGTTTGAACTTGGCTTGCAGCTAATGATTAATATTTGATCACAATTAATCAACTCAAGGGTCTTGTACTACATCAAGCAAAATGTCAGCTCTCTCTTCAAAGGTTAAATACTCTGCTGCTGGTAGCTGCTTATGCATACATAGTTGTGATAAAATAGAATAAAATAGAATAGAACAGATGGCCCACAATAGTAAACTCAACTCAACTTTATTTATAAAGCCCTTTAAAAAGACCAAAATTGCCACAGTGCTGTACTTCACTGCTGTAGATAAAGTATGTGTTAAAATTTTGTTTTATTGCAGCCTTTGTTGTTTTAGTGCAATTTCCTTTTGAGCATCATACCGCATCATATAGCAAGTCAAAACTTTACTGACGGCATACTTTCAAAGGTTTGATACCAATTATGGTCTGAGTCTTAAAAAGCTGTCCACCTTTTAAGAAAAAATAGAGCATTTCACTTTCTAAATCTCCATAAAACTGTCTGGAATGATTAAGGTACCTTTACTGAGGAACCAGGAAACTTTTTGTGTTTAATTATAAAGCGAGTTTTAATTTAGGGCTAACCTCTAAAAGTCTCTTGTTTTATCAGAATTATTTAGATAAAGAAATAGTGATGTATTCATTCATTTTCTATCATTCCTTAGTCATCTCTATTAAACATTGTTAATATTCCATTCCTCCTAGTCCTTGTCTTTCTTCCTACTTTTTATCCCCGTTCAAATACCTCCTTTCGCTGACATCAGCATTTCTGATCTGATCTTTTTTCACTCAGAACCCCGTTTCCTTTTTATCAGCTCTGCAAGTGGGAGAGATACAGCTACCGAAACCTAATTGTCAAGACAAATTGTGTCCTTCCAACAAAGTCCTATGTCCCAAAGCCTCTGATTCTATTTCCCTTTTCTTTTCTTGTGGTGTCTGTAGGTGAGCGGGATCAATACATCACTTAGCAAGAAGCGTGAGCAGCGGGTCTTGTTCATGGTAGTGATCATGGTGATCTGTTACCTACTGTGTTGGCTGCCATATGGGATCATGGCCTTGTTGGCTACCTTCGGGCCGCCTGGCCTTGTCACACCTGAAGCAAGCATCATTCCCTCAGTTCTGGCCAAGACGAGTACAGTTATCAACCCGGTCATCTATGTCTTCATGAATAAACAGGTGAGGGGGTCAGAGAGAGGATTCTAACTTAGTTCACTTTCGAGCCACTGACAAAAGCTTAATCTCACTTAGTATCTTGAGATCATATGAGTAAGCCAATGCTTTATATTAAGGTACTTTTAAATGCCATCTTAGCTCAGAATGATTTTCAGTGCAAAAACATATGAGTATATTAGTGTTAACCTGAAAAAAAAACAAAATGAAACACTGCAGAGAAGAATGAAACTCCAATAATGTGGCATGTTACTGTATGGTGCTAACAAGACAGTAATCATTTTTTTTCCCATACAGTCAAGGTCAAACTGAATGAATCTGACATGTTTTGTAATCAATTGATCAAAACTCTTCTTGTCTCTAAACCAGATTCAGGTTGTTTTCCATGTTATTAAAGCTATTTAAAACGTTCATATTTAAAGGTATACTATGCAACCGGTGTTGATTTTCCAGCGAGGCTCCCCCCAGAGGGCGAAAGTAAAAGTGCACTGTCGTATATATGCTCAGCTGTTCTCCTGGTTTCTCCGTCAAGCCAGGCGCGGTTGTTTTGAGCTTAGCAAACAGGCGAACGCAACGAATCACCATGTCTACTGCGGTAATTACTGTTTTGTTCCATTTGTTCCAACAGACCACCAGGGCGGCCAAGAAAACCTTTGTTCGACCTGAAATGGCTCATTTAATCATCCAAAACGTTATGGAACACATGAATTAACTGAAAAATGTTGCATAGTATGCCTTTAAAGGCACGGTTTGTGTTGCTGTTAGGAGAATCTGGGATCTTTGTATCACCAACTTTTATGGATTCTTACTCTTTGTTTTATTGGAGGTAAAGAGAGTACATGTTAACAATACAGTCCTCCCATTTAAAACAGTTGTGTGAAAATAAATGTATTTATGTTGTTAGATATCTAAATAAATAACAATAAAACATTTTCCGATGAAAACAGGCATATATGGCAATGGTATTAAGACAACAGGTGACCGAGTGAACTGATTACTGTCATAACAGACACTAATAAAAGGAGTACACATGAAAGAAGACAGAGAAATGTTAAAATTGTTGAAAACCATTAGAAATAAAATACTGCCACTATGTTTATGGCTGCAGCTTTTTGCAAATCAATTACTTTGATGATTTTTTTTTTTTAATTATTAATAATCAGATAGCAAAAGGTTCCTTAAAGAAAACTTTTTGCTAAATTAAACCAAGTGAAAATAAAGCTTTTCCAATTGAGGATTTCTTGATAGACCATATTGACAGACGAAAATTGTTTAGAACTTAAATGCAAAGTGTTTACACATTTTTTTTTCCAATCTTGGTATAATTGCTGCTCTAATTGGGTTGCTCTGTCAGTTACAGGCATGTATTAGAGTCTCTATACTCCACTTAATTATTGATTACTAAATTAATCGATGATTATTTCAATAATCCATTCATCACGATTAATCCAATTTTATTGTTTAAGCCCTAATTATGTTATATTTCAGTGTGTTTAAAAATCAAATGAGGTTAGATAGCCTTAAAACTAACCCTTAAACTCAATCGTAATGTGTTTAAACCAATTCACAATGCAAACCAAAAAGACTGTATTTTATTAAACCTGTCCTTTAAGATTATTCTTATAAAATACAGTTTTACAGAATGTTTTGCCAAATTAGAAAGCAATAACATTTCAGACATTTTCAGATACTTAATGCTTTGTTGGTTAGCTTTTTGGAATGGTCAGTTTGACTCCTTGACGTTTAAAACGGACAACCAGATACAAAACATTTGATCTGATTAATGTGTAAATAAAGAAAACTTTATTTTATTATCTAATGCACTTATTTTGTTCATGTTTTACAGAAAGTCTTAACTAATATTAATGCTATTAATCTGTATTGGGAACATTTACTCCCATACATGCAGAGGTAACACATTGTATGGAACAGCAGGTTGAGATTGACAATTGTTGCAAACAGAAATTGGATTGTTTTGTCAACAGTAGAAAGCTTTCTAACAGAATTATAATGAATAAATGTGTTTCTGCCAACTAAAACACATTTATCCATGAATCACTTGTTATAATAATTTAAAAAGCATAATTTTCTTCTTAATGGTTTTAACTCACATTAGTTTTAAACCATGGTAATGAATATGTTTAATCACCAGCCAACATTATAAGATGTGTGATAACATCAAATCGATGCAAAAGGATGCATCTCATATAATCTCTTAATTGCTACATCAAAATTATTGCAGTAACCATTTTTACAGGTCCAGTACAGACTAATTATGTACTAAAATCTAAGGCTGCTTCAATGTTCTCTTGCCAGGTTATTATACAACACTGGCATCACTAATAAAAGATTTTTATTTATGAATCAAGCTGCTTTATTTTTTGAATTATTGGTTCAGGGGGGAAAAAGTGTGTTCTATTGCACGCCTTAGTGAATTATTGGGGCCAGTGGTGAATAACCTAGTTAGTCTGGGCTCTGCTCATGCTGTTATGATTGAGGTGCCGTAGACACAGGGAGTCAAGATAAAGGCCAAAAAATCTAACAAGGCTTGGAAACAAACTCCGTCAGATATTTTTTAGTAAATCCTCTGACCACAGCCCCAGTGGCAAATGAAAGAAATATACAGTGCATCTGATTAGGAGCCACAATGGCTGTATGTACACACGGAATTGGAAATAAACAGCCTTCCAGTAGAAATATTTCATCAATGCAGACCATGAAAATATGGTCACATTTTTCATGCAATGCTTGAAAGTTTTTTATTTGATTATATTCAGTGACCAATGAAAACAACCATGTTTTTGTTCCTCCCTTCTGCTGGACCTTAGAGCTCGAAGGTCAAAAACAATGGCTAAAACAGATCCAAGGTTCTCCTTTCTTAAAATTTGATTAGCCTATTTTGAGCAAAGATCTGATGAATATAAATCGGATTTACTGACCCTCATTGACCTATTAATAAGAAGGCTCACACAGTGTTGCCACAAAGGAAAATGGATGTAGGCAAGAATTGCTTAAGCATGATTCCAGTTACTTTTAATTTGGTCTCATTTGTCAGCCTGTTTCTTCATCATAATGTATAATGTAAAGCTGATTGTGTATCTTCCTACTGCTCTGTTCTAAATGGGAACCAACCGGTTGGATATTTAATGACATTGGTTTATTGAGATAACAGGATTCCTTTAAACAAAGGCTCAGCACAGGTCAAAGTTATGGCATCGATTTATGTTTTTCAATATTATTGCCAGTTCTCTGTGTTGTTTCTGTCTGCCGCTGTGCTGCTGATACGCTCTTCCCACTGAGGGACAATAGATATTCCTTTTTCTATTGTATTCTATAGAATTCACAATAATTAAGAGATTCAAACTATTTTTTTTCAGTGGTCTACTGAACATGTTTATAGATTTTAAAAAATGCGGTCTGAAAAGAAGAATACATTTTGTTTGCAGCTGTGAAACATTTTCTTGAGAGTCGTAAAAGTTCTTGGCCAATTGATTGCTAAATACATTGGAACAAATTATTATGTGTTGATTAATCTTTAAATTTTCAAGTCCGTACAGTTTTATTTATATAGCAGCAATTCCCAACCGTTGTCATTTTAAGACACTTTTCAATCAGATTCGCATTTTTAAAATTATATGTTCTTGTTTTCATACCACAGCATGTCATAGCATACGAAGATATGCCGTATTTATCTTTAGGTGAATTACACTTCAGCATCATCTAAACTTATTCTAAACTTATTTTGTATTTTTTACATTATATTTTTAAATCTTTTTTTTTGTAAGTAATAGAACACATTACAAAAGCTTGATATAAACTCACACCACGCCTTCAATGCCCTATTTACACTGTAGATTAATTGAACTCAGGAGGCTAAAGTCTTGGGCTGACTCCCGTGGTCAGGAAAGTGTGACATATTTATAGCCAATAAATCTTTACTCATTAGTGTTAATCATAGATGGTATACAATTGATTTAAATTTCAGTTCAGGATATTTAAGCAATTATACATACTTTGTACATACTTTTATTTCTTTCTTTTTTTTTTCTATTTCTTATTTTTATTTTGTTTTTCATTGTGTGCGATACATGTACACTTGCACCTTAATCCTATATCTTGATATACTGTATATACCTGGATATACTGTTTATATATTGCTTATTCTTAATGCACCTTTTTCCTCCCTGTTTGCACCTTCTGTAACTTCTATGCCAATATGTGACGAGTGAATTTCTCCGCTGTGAGATCAATAAAGCTCATCTAATCTAATCTAATCTAATCTAATCTAATCTTAACGAGTAGGGAGAGAGTGACACAGTAGCAATAGTTTTTAATTACACCAATGTATGTTAAAATAAATTATTATGGCAAAGTAGCTTTATTCATTATATGAAGTCTTATGTTGATAATTACTATAAATCTTTTTTTCAAAGGAGCATTAAATTATTTTCACACCTATAGCATTTTCAATCATAAAGCCAACAAAACACATATTAATTTACCTAGCAATACTTATATTTGCAAATCTTCACATTCTTTCACCCAAAATACCCTTTAGTGTAACTGCCAGGCAACATTTATTAAAAAATGTACCTTTATTTTGATTCATCCAAGGGTAACTATAACTGAAACTTTCAATTTCTTGACATATGACTTTTTTTTTTTTTTGTTACCTCACATCTTAAAACTTCCATATATTTCATCAAAAGGAAGAAAGAAGTTACTAAAAGTTAACTAGAAGGGAATCAGGACTCATGGCTATTTAACATGTTGACAAACAAATCTATAAAGTCTTGCATTATCTGTTTTTATCAGTTCTTCATCATAAAATAACTAAATTTTTTCAGATTGATTGGAAAGTGTCTATAAAATAGGTTATAAAGTCTTATCTATTGATTGAAGTGGTTCCATTGTAGCACTGGTTTCTTGTTTAGCTTTGGTGTCCTACTACAACGTAAACCTCCACTCAATTTGTACTACTTTTCAGCTTTTAACAAATCGTCCTT